ATAAATTGAAATGTTTCAACAAACTTATGCAGCGCTGAAGGCTCTTACTTGCCTATGCCAAGAAATTTGGAAGACAGATACCTGGTTAACCAATTGGAAGATATCCATATTTATACCCATTCCAAAGAATGATGATCTAATAGAATGCGGAAATTATTGAACAATATCATTAATATCACATGCAAGTAAAATTTTTCTGAAGATAATTTTTAAATGGTTGAAGCTGTACATCAAAAGGGAGCTGTCAGAAATTCAAGCCTGATTTAGAAGAGAACATGGAATGAGGGATTTCATTACTGAAGTTAACTGGATCTTGGCTGAAAGCAGAGAATATCAGAAAGATATTCATTTGTGCTTCATTGACTATACACAGGCATTCGATTGTAGATCATAACAAACTATGGATAACATTGTGAAGAGTGGATATTCCAGAACACTTCATTGTGCTCATGAGGAACCTGTACCAAGAGGCAGCATTGGAACAGAACAAGGGGATGCTGAGTGGTTTAATATACACCAGGACTGTATATTTTCACCATATTTATTCAATTTGTATGCTGAGCAAATAATCTGAGAAGCTGGATTATATGCTGAGCAAATAATCTGAGCAAATAATCTGAGAATGTGGCATCAGGAGAAGAGGTAGACTCATTAACAACTTGCACTATGTACATGACACATCTTGCTTGTTGGAAGAAAAGAGGGCTTTAAACAGTTACTAATGAAGATCTGGTAGCATAGTGGTTATGAATCAGGCTGCTAACCTCATGGTTAGCAGTTCGAAACTACCAGCTGTTCCACAGGAGAAAGATGAAGCTATCTGCTCCCATAAAGATTTACAACCTTGGAAACCCTGTACAGGGTTGCTATGAGTTGAAACTGACTCCACCATACATAACAACAACAATTAAGATCAAAGACCACACATAGCCTTCAGTATGGATTGCACCTCAATGTAAAGAAAACAAAAATGCTCACAACTGACCAATAAATAACATCATGATAAACAGAGAAAAGATTGAAGTTGTCAAAGACTTCATTTGGCTTGAATCCACAATTAATGGAAGCAGCAGTCAAGAAATTAAATAAGTATTGCATTAGGCAAAATAGCTATAAAAATCCTCTCTGAAGTGTTAAAGAGCAAAGATGTCAGTTTGAGAACTAAGGTGTACCTGAATCAAGCCATGGTATTTTCAATTGCCTCATATGCAAGTGAAACTTAGACAATGAGTAAGTAAGCCTGGAGAAGAATCAATGCATTTGAATTATAGTGTTGGCAAAGTTGAAAGTACCATGGACTGCCAGGAGAACAAACAAATCTTTGAACTATAGCCAGAATGTTCCTTAGAAACAAGCATGGTGAGATTTCTTCTCTTATATTTTGGACATGGAGCCCTGCTGTGGGATAAAGCACTGGACTACAAGGTCAGTTTGAACCACAAGACCAGCGGTTCAAACTCACCAACCACTCCTTGGAAATCCTATACAGGGTGGCTATGAGTCGAAACCAACTCCAGGGCACTTTACAGCAACAAAAACTTTGGACATATTATCAGAAGGGATGAGTCCTTGGAAAGGCCATCATGCTTGGTAAAATGGAGGGTCAGTGAAAAAGAGGAAGGCCCCCAACGAGATGGATTGACATCGTAGAAGCAACGATGGGTTCAAACATTAACAATTGTAAAGATGGTGTAGGACTGGGCAGTGTTTCATTCTGTTGTGCATAAATGGTACCTCACAAAAACAAACATGTATTGATTGAAAGATGGTCTCCAGGAATGTCTTCACTTCCAGGTCAGAAGGATGTCCTTAGGATCATAATCTTTAGGGTTCCTCCAGTCTGTCAGATCAGGAAGTATGGTCTTGCTTGTGAATTGAATTTTTTGTTTACACATTCTTCTGCTCTGTCCAGGATCCTCTGTTGTGATCCCAGTCATAGTGGTTGGTAATGGTAGCCAGGTACCATCTAGTTCTGGTCTCAGCATCATGTAGGCTTTGGTTCATGTGGTCCATTAGACCTTTGGACTAGTTGCTCCCTTGAGTCTTTGGTTTTCTTCACTCTTCTTTACTCTGGGTGGGTAATGAATGAGCCCAATAGTTGTATCTTAGATGACTGCTGGTAAACTTTTAAGACCTCAGATGCTACTCACCAAAGTAGGATGCAGAACATTGTCTTTATGAACTCTGCTGTACCAATTGATATGTCATTGTTGTTGTTAAGTGCCGTCGAGTCAATTCTGACCCACAGCGACCCTGTATAGGGTTTCCAAGGAGCAGCTGGTGAGCTTGAACCACTGACCTTGCAGTTCAAACGACTTGCAGTCTGACGCATTAGCCCACAGCGCCACACCAGGACTCCCACCAACTGATATAGATGTCCAGAATCCTTCTTTGAGCCTAAAACTTTTGTCCCATTAATTGTTTGGAAGTTACCATGACTGGGTTCTTTGTGTATTCTATTGTCTATATTAATAGTCAAGCAGCATCTGCAATTGTGTATTTGGAAATATGATTTATGTTAATGAATCCATATTAGTGCAGGGTGTGTCCTAAACCTAACCACTTCTGAGTGATGTAAGAATAGTAGACACAGAGACAAGAAAGCACAAATGGAGAAGATAGATGCTACATGACAAGGAAACATGAACACTGAGGCTACAGAAGCTAAAAGAGTCAAGAATCTTTCCTAGAGCCCACAGAGAGAAAGAACCTTCCCCTAGAGCTGGTGCCCTAAACTGTGAGAAAATAAAATTTCGTTCTTTAAAGCTACCCACTTATGGTATTTCTATCACAGCAGCACTGAGAAACTAGGACAAGGAGTTTTCAGATGGATACACATGACCTCAATACCTTGTTGTTGTTGTTAAGCGCCTTCGAGTCAGTTCCGACCCATAGCGACCCTGTATAGGGTTTCCGAGGAGCTTCTGGTGAGCTTGAACCGCCGACCACGCAGTTCAAACGACTTTTGGCGCATTAACCCACAGTGCCACACCAGGACTCCCATATACCTTGTAGTGCCTTGAAATCTGCTAAATATTTTCCCCTCGGAAGATCCTCCTCATGCCGCTCCCTAAAATATTTCAACTGTATTTTTCTTTGTCATCTTACGGTTGGGTAAGGGACAACCTGATTTACCCAATAATCAGATTAAGACAGGTATCCTAGTACTGAGTGAAGCAGAACTTCATCATGAGACGAAGTAACCTGGACTAAAATTACGTGGCCATACTCTTGTTTCAAAACAGAAAATAGCTCAGAGAGGGGGCTCCCTATATTAAGACCCAACCCTGAAAGGCAGAAACTATGATCTATTTGTGGCTGGCTATCTTCCACGCCAGGAAGTCAGGTTGGCAGGCCTCTATCTAGCCTGTGTTCTGCATGAAGAGGAAACAGACGCATTCTGACTTAAGTGGAGCGATCGGAGTCCTACAGAGAGACAGAGCTGGGGAGACCATACAGCTCAAGAACAGAGTCGCACAAGATCACTGCGGGAGACACCCATGACCACCCTCCGTGGTCCCGCCTCCAACACCGGACGCGTATGGTCGAGAGGGGACGCCAGCGTGCGCATACCTGCCGCGCCTGCGCAGTGTGGTACGTATCAGCGCGCCGGCGCAGTGCGTCGGTCACAGGATAATTACTGCGGTGAGAGCTTCGCTTTACTTAGGGTTGGCCCAAGAGAAGCAAGGATGGTGCTGGACCTGGATTTGTTTCGGGTGGATAAAGGGGGGGACCCAGCACTTATCCGAGAGACGCAGGAGAAGCGTTTCAAGGACCCGAGACTAGTGGACCAGCTGATGAAAGCGGACAGCGAGTGGCGACGATGTAAGTACGGAGTCGGAGTCAATGGGGTACCCCTCTGATTCTAACCCTAATTTCACCTCTCATCTCGTTACTGCTCCTGAGGGCACAGCGTCCACATCTTGTCAGACCTTCGCCCAAGTTGCGATGATTCCAGGGCTCTCTGTTTAGCCCCCCAGACACACCCTAGGAGCCGGTACCTTCCCACTTCCCTTTCGTGCGGGCAGTGCGCGGTCCCTTACGCGCTTGCTCAGTGCGGGAATGGCCCTGGGAAGGAGTATGGCGCATGCGTATCAAGAGCTGTCAAACCTTCTTGCCAGATGGGTGGCTAGCAAAAATCCAGAGCGGGATGTTTGGGGGTGTTTGTGTGTATGTGGCTTACTTTCTTCTCCTTCTAACACTTATCTTTGATCACCTCTAGTACTTTTCTCACCTTCAGTATGGACAAAGGCTTCTCCCTTTTTTTGCTTGATGGGATTAAAGGCTCCAGCCTGAGATTGGATCACATCTGCAACACAATAGATTCATTCCACCCATATTGGAAACATTTGGGGACTTTGGAGGCCTTTTCTGGTTAGCAGTGTTAATGCCGGAGCTTTTGGGCATACATTTAGGAATCAAGAAAACCTTTTCTACAATAGAGCAAACACGAGGTAGGGCCGTAGTTAGTGAAGCAAGCAAAAGTTTGTAATTGGGGCTGTTTATTTGTGATTTGTAAAAGTTATTTGCAAAAAACATCGGACTAGAACCTGAACTGATCTGGACATCTTTCATGAAGCTAACCATAGAGCCATTAGCTGGAATTGTCTCTGGTTGGCCGGATGTTGTCAACGTCCATGTGACTCATTTTGTCTGATGCAATAGGTCTGCAAGCAGCAGAGAGCCAAATTTATGACAGCACGCTGTAAAGGCAGTCTGCTGTCCAAGAATGCGGTGGATTTTTGTTAGGAAAATGGATTTTTCCAAATTTATAAGTCTTATTAAAACAAAATTTAGAAATTTTGTTTTAATAATGTCTCCAGTATTGCCCAATTTTGTATGTCTCAGTCATTCTAATGTGGTTTGTTTGATTATGAGATCCCATATTTGATTCTGAAGTCTTGAATTGCAGTGAAATTAAATTTTGCCATATTTAATGTCTAGGAAAAACCTAAACTGATCACTATTTTACTGAAGTCAGGAGTTGTCAGATTATTATTATTAATCATTATTATTATTAAGCCATGATTATGGCTCCATAAGATAAGCACTAGACAGTAAACCACAAGGTCCATTGTTTTAGCTCGCCAGCCTCTCCGCGGGAGAAAAGATGAAGCTTTCTGCCCCCTCAAAGATTTAAAGCCTGGGAAACCCTATACAGGGTCGCTATGAATAGGAATTGACTCTGTCACTTAACAACAAGTGACTTTCTGTTAGCTAATCTCTTGTTCCTTTATCTGATGAGTGGATATGTGGTGAGAGGGAATTCTTGAGGGACAAGGATTGTGTTTTATTCACCATCTGTTTATTATCCCCAGTACTTAGCATAGCACCTAGTCCTTGGTAAGGGCATGATAAGATTTGCTGAATGCACGGGTATCTTCTGTGTTCAGAGCCCTGTGCACTTTGTGAAGAACAGATTATGTAGTTGTCACTGTATCTCTTCATTTTATTCTTTTGTACTTCACAGTCCTTATTATTTTCATTGCTTCCCAAGTGACTTAATGACTTTGCCCTTGTGGAACATTGGCCAAACTTGTATAAAAGTTATACAAAAGTTTTACTTCTGGACCTATTACAGAGAATGAGGATCTCCTACCATTAGCTGCAACAAGAACTTGTAACTCGGAGTCACAATAGGAACTCAGAGTATACTCTCTGACAGAAGACACAGGACACTTCACAAGACCCTCATAACTATGTGTATGCATGTTTAGTGCTGTCGAGTCCATTCTGACTTATATTAACCCTGTATAGGGCTTCCAGAAGTCCTGGATAATGTGGGATAATGCACTAGACTTCAGGGTTGGTTTGAACCACAAGGTCAGCGGTTCAAATTCACCAGCCGCTCCTTGGACACCCTATACAGGGTGGCTGTGAGTCAGAACTGACTTGATGGCATTTAACAACAACAACTCCTAAGGCTTCCATGGAGTTGCTGGTGGATTTGAACAGCCAACCTTCCAATTAGCAACCTGGAGCTTATTCTACAGCACCACACCAAAACTGTTACGAATCGGGCTGTGAGCCGCAAGGTGAGCAGTTCAAAACTACCAGCTGTTCCATAGGAGAAAGAATAGGCTTTCTGTTCCCGTAAAGATTTACAGCCTCGGAAACCCTGTACAGGGTCACTATGAGTCGGAACCGACTCCACGGCACGTAACAACAAGTGCCACTGAGTCTACTTTGACTTACAGCCACCCTGTATAGGGTTTCCGAGGTGGCTTTGAACTGCCAACCTTGTGATTTGCAGTCCAGTGCTGATCCTACAGTGCCACACCAGGAGTCTCCATTACAACTATACCTACCAGTATTTGTCTTCCAAAGTGCCACTAGGGCTCTATGTAGAACACAGGAGGCTAATAGAAAGAACACCACCACATTGGAGTATACCACAACCCTGCTTCAGGGTTTGAACAGTGATTTTTTTTTCTTCTTAATTTAGAGACAGCAATGAGACCAC